CCCCCCCCCCCCCCCCCGAGATTTGATTTGCCCACAGAGTGCTTTCCCAGAAGGATTGGTGTTCCTCCCGCTGGTTGTGATTTTTTTTTTTTGTTGCGTGCGCGCCCCGTCGTGTAACATACCTGTTGCACGTTTTTCATCGCGGCAGGTGGGGTACAAGTCGGTGGACGACTACGTGACGAGCGGTATGGTGGTCGGCCTGGGCACGGGCTCCACCGCCGCCTTCGCCGGTAAGAAGTGTTGCCGCCGTCTCTGTAACCGTTGCTGTATTGCGTCCCTCGAAACTTGATCAAATTCCCCCGACCAAGAAAAAAACACACCCCAACAATAAATTCATTAATCCACCGAAGGAATCTTGTGCCGTTGGGTGAGATCGTCCTCGTCGTTACTCTTGTCGGAGCAGACTTGTCGGTGCTTGGTAGCCCATCTTGAAAGAATCCTCCTCGAGCCCTTGCTTGAAGGGATCCTCTACGAAGCTTGTTTGAGCAGAGGTAGCATGCGTAATCATCACCCCCATCGGGGGAACCGCTGCCGCTCACCCCCGCGCCCCTCTGATGTCAATCAGTGGAGCGCCTTGGGGAGCTGCTTAAGAGCGGCGAGCTAAAGGACATTGTGGCCATCCCCACGTCCATCCGCACCAAGGAGCAGGCGGAGTCCCTGGACATCCCGCTCGTGACGCTTGACACCCACTCCGGTACGTTGTTTCGACTCATTCGCATACAGTATAACATCCTTCTATGCATCATGTACGTGCTATTTTCCACGTGTGAAGTCTCGACACCGCAGCCGTCCTGTGAAAGTTTGTATGCAGCAGCCATACAGCGTGTGGCCGGCGTTTGACCGTGGTTGCCCGTAACGTTTTTTTTTTTTTTTTACGCTCAGGACCCCGCCCGGGCTTGATATCATTGCTGCTGTGTGCTCGCGTGTGTTAATATCATTGGCATCTGCCGCGCTAATCGGCTAACAAATGAAAGTCAGTCATTCTCAACGTGGTTGAAAACCAGAACATGCTTCCTTCCTGCAGTCCATGATCTGTTCGTGTGTGTGTGTCTTGTGTGCTTTTTCTCCCATTATTGTTGGTGTTGCGTCGACCCAGTGCTTGACGTGGCCATCGACGGCGCCGACGAAGTGGACCCCGACCTGAACCTCGTCAAGGGCCGCGGCGGAGCCCTCTTGAGGGAGAAGATGGTGGAGGTGAGACCAGGCCACACCAGTCCGGGCTGAGTTGGGTTGGGGCTGAGCTCGTTGTGAGGGAAAATGTGGTGGTGGGACCAGACCATGCCATATGCCATGTATGGAGCTGGGTTGGTTTGGGGCGTGGAGCGACACCAACGCCTCCCGTCGACGGAGGATGGACGAATACGTTCCACTGGAAGCGACCCCGTCGGCGTAAACGATGCATTCCACGGAGAATGGCCATGAGGAGCGGGATTTCTGTGCACCTGCATTGTTTTGTTTCCCCCCTGCCATTCCACCCCCCTCGGTGCTTGCTATCGGGGTTGGGCTTTCGTCGCTTGGCAACGACGTTGTAACAAGCGTTCCCATCGGTGTTTGCCATCGGGATCGGGTTTTCATCGCTTGGCAAAGACGTTGTAAAACAAGCCAATTCACTTCGTACGCTCGGCAACCAGGTTACCGTTTTTTTTTTTTGCCTCCGTTTTTTTTTTTTGGCGGTAACCAGAATGGTGGTCGAGTAGATCATTTTGTGCGGGCTGGACAACCCTCACTCCGCGCAGGGGGGATGATCGCACCACGTTGTGTTAAAATGGTCACGCATCGTCGAGGCAGTTACAAAGTGCTTTCAACTGTCTTTGGAAGTGAAAGCACCAGAAATTTGATTTAAGTCATACGCAGCTGTCATCCGTATGCAAGGAAGTAAGCACAAGATGCCGAAAACCCTTGGCAGGATGAAGCGCACCCTTCATGCGACTCGCCGCATATCTCACGGCGCTTCGCGCTTGGTGAGGTTAGAGGCTGGTCCGGTGAGAACCCGGCGTGCTCCGTCCCGGCTTTGTAGGGATGCGAGGTCAATGGTCTAACGACTACGGCATGCACGACTATGAGTACACCCCCCCC